ACACATTCCTTTCCTGCAGTCACGTTCTCCCTCTATCCTCTATTAAAATGGTCAGTATAAGTGGGCACATGGCTGGGAGCCTCTCCCAAGTTCCTTCCCATTAGCTGTTCACCGTAGGCATTGCAATGTTTGTAAAATTCATCTGGGCTTGGTTTTTTTGGTTTTGTTTTTGTTTTTAGCCTACTCGTTTCCATTGTGGTGAATGATTTGCTTTCTTTCAGGCACTATTCATTTTATTTTGTATTGTTATTGTCTGATGGGTTCATTAAGGGGGAAGCATTATCCGTTATGAATCAGTCTACTGTCTTCCTGAGTGTATTGCACATTCTTTTTTTCAAACCTAGGTAAGGTTTTGCTTCATTCGTTCAACAAGTAGTTATTGGGCGCCAGGAACTGCTCTAGCTGCTTGGGATGCATCCGTGAATGAGGAAGGAGTCCTACTCTCGTGTAGCCTTACATTTCTCCAGCCTCAGTGACTTAGCACTTCTTGATTTCCGTGTCGCTCTTTTGGGATATTCACAGATGGCCTGTCCCCTCCCAGCGAGGAGAATGTTCTCTGCAATCCTTTCTCGAGTGGGGCTGTGCGCTCCTTCACACGAGCCTCTCCATCCCCCTAGAATGAATTGTTCACAGCACGGCAGCTCCTTACCCTGGCAATTTCCCCCCCAAAAACCAGTACTTTGCCCAAGTTCTGGATATCAATGTCACGGCCTCTTCTCTGACCATAACTTCTTTTAAATCCCTTAATGGCAGCTCCCTCCTCTATGTACTCTGAAAACAATGTATGTTCTCTTTGAGAAGATAATTTAACCGTGTCGTTGAATCCTCTCGATGATCTATTTACCAGATGCACACCTTCTGTCATAAACCCCTTATAACCTTTAACCCTTTGTCCTCAGCTAAGAGTCCTTTCTGGGGGAAAGTCTCTGGATATGACCAAAGGGTGCCTGAGACCTGAGCTTGAGATGGCTCGCGGAATTTGGTGGGGCAGGACACTCAAGGAAACTTTCCTAGGGAGACTGGCTCTCCGCAGATCTTGGGGCATGCAACACAAGCCTGGGATGAGGAACCTAGAGGCCATTGCAGGGCTCACTTGGGTTGAGTGGGTTCTCCATTCGAAGAACATGGATACAGGGATCTCTTGCAGTCATAAGCTGCTCCATCAAGGTCTAGTATGCTCCAAGTTGGATAGTACCCAACTGGAAGAGTTCCAAACCACCTCACATACCTGGGACTCCTCCACAGTTTTGGACTATTCTGGACCGTCAGCAGACCTCTTATAGCTTCCATGAGCCAGAGAGAGGTAAGCAATGTGGAAGAAAGAGAAAACTTATGGCAAACAAAGAATGAAAACAAAACAAAACAAAAAAACCCAACAAAACCCCAAACCTAAGAAAACTAGGTGCTGTTCCTTAACAGTTTTGTGGCTTTGACCAAACAATTAGGACTCTCTGAACCTCATTTTTATCCTTCCAATAATGTAAAAAAAAAAGGGGGGGGGGAAGAAAAAAGATTAAAATACAAGGAATGTACATCCATAAGATGCTATGCAAATGTAAGTTTTTACTGCTGTTATTATTTTCAGCAGGCCCCCCTGCCGGAGTCCACAGTCTGATGGACCCTAATCATGCCAAAAGCTCTCCCTCGACAGGCTGAAGATGTCCAACAGGCAACGGCCAGTGAGTCAGCCCCTACCCCATTCATCAGTCAGCCAGCGCTGGGCTGATGAATCTGCAGCTGTCGCTTTCCACCGGCCAGCCCGGACCTTGCGTTTTATTGCTTCTGAGCTAAGGCTGGAACTTCCCTGGCAAAAGCTCTACCACCGCAGACGTGTTTGTTTCCCTGCACCCAGGTTGCTGAGGGCATCCCACAGGACCAGGGGCACTCCTTAGGGACCGGCCACTGGCACGCCTCCCGCCATCCCCCTGAGTTCTGTGTGGCTCCAGCCTGCAGAGCTAAAGAGGGTCACATCCTGAGCCATGCGATTAAGGCATAAAATAAGGGTGAAATGATGTCATGAGCCTGGAATTTTGGGAAATGGGTGTGTTCGAGTTGAGAACACTGATGGGGCAGTCCGTGGAGATTTAGCCAGAACTAAAGAATCTTTTAAATCTCAAATTCCTGGCAACCACCCAGCCCTATATCATTAGGGTTGGGCAGTCTTATTGGGCTCCATGTGGTCTGATGAAAGATCAGGGGGACAATATGAATTGTCAATTATTGTTCGTAAGACAAAAAGAGAAGGAAGAGGCCAGGGACAGCTCACTGGCATCCATGCCTACATGCTTTGCCTGAGTTTTTAGGATTGGGAAAATGACCCCAAAATGTTAATACTAGAAGGGACCCTCAAGATCATGAGGGATAGGATCCAGAGGGCTTAAGCAAGTTTTCCAAGACTGCACACAATTGAGTGATGACATCAGTACTTTGTGTCAGTCCAATGAATGAGGGACCCAGTATTTTAAAATACGGCAAAGGTGTCATTATGTGTATAGATACGTTATATACAAAGCGTATGACCACAGGTTTGTTTATGGTGACAAAAAAAAAAAATCAGAGCAACATAAATATCCATCCTATGGATTCACATGATGGAATTCTTTGTAGCCATTACAGATGATGGAATAGATCTACATTACTGACACGGTAAGCTGTGGGCTGAGCTAGAGGGACTCTTATGACTTTGTGTTGTGTGACAATAGAAGATGTCAGTGTAGCCTGTAAGTCATCTGGGGTAAAATTTTATATTTGTACGTATGTATAAACATGTATATGAGAAAAGTTTACAGTAATTATCTCAGAGGTGAGGCGTTGGATGATTTTAACTTTCTTACTTACATTTTCGTGCACTGTTGGGAATCTGTTCAAAGATCATGTATCATATTTTATAATCTAAAACCAAACAGTAAAAGGACATCTTCCTTTTTGTCGCAGATATCTGTGTGCAGTTTCAGAAGTTGGCAGGATGGTGGCAGCGAATTCTCCCACGTCTGGTTCCCTTACAGTTGCTTTCCCCTCAAAAATCGGCAAGTGCTGCTCGGCACACAATCCAGAAGGAAGAACGTTATGGAGGACATGATGCCTCGGATCTTCAAACAGAAGCTGTTAGTAGGAGGGTAGACTAAGAGGTCCCCGCAACATCAAGAAAACGTCTCTGTTTAAGAGCAAAAATTAAGAACAGAATGGTTGATTTGAGCCTCTGTGGATGTGACCACCCTGAACAAATGTCTGGCAGAGCTTACAGGTCCCCAACTCTATTTAAGACGCTTGGGTGTAGCCACAGGCAAGTATAACTAAAGCAAAAATATAACTGGAAAGATGGAACTGAGTTAATTGCATTGGATAGTGCTGTAATTTGGCTGAAGGCATAGCATGTTAACCAAGGGGAAAAACCAGTACAGGGTCTGGAAAATGAGCTCTGCGTACTGCTCGGCATTTACCCAGCCCTGCTAGGGAAGGGCAGTTGTGACTTCTGTGGCCACAGAAGTGGCCATGTCCCTCTGCCATGTCCCAGAGCCTTGAAAGACCTTCCTACATACCACCCACAAAGAGTAGGGCGAACCTGACATCCACGTGTTTGGAATGACAAACGCCACCTTGTATGTGCGCACATGCAGGAGCCTTAAGGACTGGAAAGACTTCTGTTTAGTCCTGTAGGACTTAAAAAAATATTCAGTCAATTATCCGAAATGTAACTGGAAAGAGTACTCCAGTTTCCAATGAGACTGAATAATGGAGTCACCTTACTTAGTGTTTGTCTGTTTCCACCAAGAAACAGTTCATGTCCTTGAAAGCGCTAACATGGTGTCAAGATCATTTCTAGAGTGTCTGTGTGTTCTACTGGCCACACAGATCCAGGCGGGCCCCTCGGCTGGGCTGTCTAGTTTCATGCCCTCTTCCCCCGCAGTTTTCCTTGGGCAAATGTAAAGATATGTGTTGACTGCTTTCTCACATCTGTGGAAGTTTAGCCATAGGGATGCTCTGATCACCATCTGAGTTCAAAGGGAAAGTCTTGAGGGAGGATATGAGGTTCTTTTATTTGGGGATTGGACACTTTACTAATGAAATGTACTAGGGTTTTTTTTTTTTTTAAGTTTATTTATTTGTTCTGGAGAGAGAAAGAGAGAGCGAGAACGAGAGCAAGAGAGAGAGAGCGCACATGAATGGGGGAAGGGCAGAGAGAAAAGGAGAGAGAATCCCAAGCAGGCTCTGAGCAGAGCCCAGTGTGGGGCTCGAACCCACAAACCATGAGATTGTGACCTGAGCCGGAATCAAGAGTTAAATGCTTAACTGACTGAGCTACTCTGGCGCCCTAAATGTACTAGGTTTTAATTGGATAACTGGTATGTAGCCAGCATCTACTTACTGGACTTGCTGCGTACTCTGTACAAAAGGAGACACAGTCACTCTTTAATTCCTTATAAATATTCAGTGCTTTACCTGAAATGGTCCATTAGACCCTAGTAATAATGCCTTCGGTAACATGAGGGGCAAAGTGAAGAAGGCGATATATATACCTTTAATATCTGTCTTCTAGTATCGCTGTTGTCATTAGCTGGAGAAAGACCTTCTCACTTTTTGTTTTGATCACCACTTATTGTTTGCTGACTACGTTTCTCTGGCTCTGAAGCTGCATGGTGTTGACGAGGCTCGGGAGTTCTGTTCTTTTAGCCATTTTGAACCTCCATCCACATCCCAGCTGCCTGAAGAACGAAAAGACAGTAATTAGTATGGATCTGGTAACTGTCCAAGGTGGCTACATGGGCTCCTTTCCCCTGCCGAGTTCAGACGTCTTCAACAGCCCCCTTCTACTGCGACATCACACGGCTGGGTCGGCCAGACTTTCCGCTTGGCTGGAAGTGCCCGTCCAAGGGCCCACATTCTTGGAACGCTCTTGGAGTTTCATGAATTTTATCTTTCAAAACCAGTTTCAGCATGAGCTCGCTGAGACAAGAAAGGGGGGGAGACTAAGAGGATTTTTAGAGACTTTCCAGTTGGTGGAATTATATTAAAATGACATCTCAGTGAGACAGACCTGAGAAAGGAAACAATACAGGCAAGAAGAAAACAGTCTGTGGGAGAAAAAAGGACGGGAGCGTGGCAGGGAGGAAAGAGGTAAGGGTGTGAAATTTCTGGTCAATGCTGCAACTGCAAATAGGAGCGGCAGGGAACAAACAGCCATTTGATTTGGAGGATGCTATGTAACTTTCAATTTATTTACCTTTCAAGCTGTGCTTGCTAAGATTAGCATCGACATCCTCTGCACATATAATGGCTTTGGGGAGCATGCTTGAGATTCCTTTTGGCTAACTGAGTTTGAGCAAAAACAAGTCAAAGCTATTATTAATTTTCTTTTCTGGGAGCTGTAAGGGGCCAGATCCACCTTCAGAGATTTCTCCTTGTATCTCATCATTAAAAGCCCTTGATTCATACATTCATTAAAAGTGTTTATGCCGGCTCCAACTTGAAAATCTGCCCTACACGGCATTGTGCCAGAAGTTGATTCTCGTTGCTTCAGAAGGAGGGAAAAATAGTCTTGTACTTGAGGCTAATACTGTGGCACTGGGCAAGAGGGGAAATTCCTTCCCAAGAATAAATGACTTTACAGAGGTCAAATGAAATTTTGCCCGATTCTTTACCCACATGGAAAGCTAAAGTGTCTAATCTACCCTCCAGGCGAGGGGCATGGGAACACAGAGCAGACCGGCAGATCACCCCGAACTGTGTGAAAAGACCTGTGCAGATGGCAGAGAGAGGTGCGCCCTCCAGCCCCACGTGGTTTCAGACCCCTGAACTCTTTCCTACCCACAACCACAAGCTCATGGCTGTGGAAAGAATCAGATTTAACATTTTAATCACATCCAGAGGCACAGTAAGCTGGAGTTTCAGCCAGAACAGATCTGATTTCCTTCCCGGACTTGATAACTTTGCTTTACAAAATAAGTTCAGTGATATTTCAAGGGTTAATTAGGAGCCTTTAGGAATCCTGGACTGGCACTCATCTTTTAAAAATATTTACACAACTTCGCTTTATATGATACCACTGTGTGTGTGTGTGTGTGTGTGCGTGCGCGCGCGCGTGTGTGTGTGTTTTAAGAGCTCAAAGCATTTAAGACTTTTCTCTCCAAACCCTAAACATCTGCAAAAGTACACAGGAGGGTGAGATTTATTAAGCTCATTTGGAAGGCCAGGACATGGACTCACTTTAAAGTTGAAATGCAGGAAGGCGGCTCACTCGCTCACTCACCCCAAGGCCAGACAGTGGGAGAGAGAAACTAGATCTTCCATGTCCGGGAGTTCTGTCTCAGGGACCCCCCTCTCCATGCACTGTCTCCCCCTCTAAAACCCACTGTGGGAATCCAGAAGGACCAAATGCCTCCTCCACTTCTCCTTTCTTAACCCGAGAGCACCTCCCCTCCAGGGTTTCCCCGGCTCCAGAATTCTCTATAAAAAATGCAACCCGACCACATACTCCCAAGCATCTCGGGACTATGCCTGGAGCCCAGCTCTCCTCGGGAAGGAGTCTGAAACTTGTAGAAGGCATTGGAGGTCAAGGCAAGCTGAAAGGTGAAGGCTCAGAGAGAATGTGCTGGCCGTTCTGTCCCCACAGCCCAGGGAGGGTTCCCGGGCCTCACCATCCTCCCCTCCCCGAGGCCTAGGCTGTTCGGAGATCACAGGGCCTGTTAACCCACTCCCGGGAGTGGCTTTTCTCAACCAGGCACTTTTATTATCAAATGAGTGATGAGGGAGGGGGAGGTGAGGAAAGATATGAGAAGCTGATGTAATCTTCTGTCACATCATCAGGTTTTTATGAAAAACTTACGCTGTCTCATTCTTACGGGGACGGAATTCAGTTCTCAGGGGCTTGTGAAGATGCAGTAGCAAAGCAGTGCGCGCGTGCGTGCATGCGTGTGTGTGTGTGTGTGTGTGTGTGTGTGTGTGTTTTCCGCAGCATGCACTTCAGCAAATATTTTCTCCTCTCCACTTTGAAATATTTTCCCTAAAAACCAAAGTAATGTAGGTTCATTGCACAAGATTTGAAACATGTAGAAATGTGACCCACAAGAAGCTGAAATTCATCTGTTAATGTTACCATCTAATTTCATCAACATTTTGGTGAACAGGCACAGTCCATCCTCTGTTCTTCTATGGAATAGAAGTCCTAAGAGGGCAGGGATCTTGCTCACATCTGTGACCCAGAGTTCTGAACAGGGCCTCAGGTGTGGCAGCGTGCAGATGTCTTGGTTGAATAAATGCATAACTGTAAAAGAGCAATTTGAATTAAAATTAAAATAATTTGTCGCGATGCAGGAGGGAACAGAAATAGAGTTGCCTGGATGTGGCAGACTTGGGTCCATGCTCCCGCTAATGATTTATGGTGGCTCCTTGGATATGTCATGTCACCTCTCTGGGCCTGAGTTTCTCCTTCAGTCCAATAATCATAGTTAACATTTACTGAGTGCTCACTGGGTGCCGAGCATTATTATAAGCTCTCCATGTTATTTCTCACCGCAGCTCTGTGAAATGGGTATCTTCTGCCCCCATCTGATGCACAAGAAAACAGGCCTTTGGGAGGCCGATTTATCCACAGCCACATAGCCGTGAGTGGAGAGCTGGGCTTGCACTCCCGCATCCGAGTTCTCCTCTCCAGTGGCTATAGGCTATGTGACTATAGGACCAGGTGACTTCCAGGGCCCCTCCCGGTGAAGCTCAACTGTGGAGCAAGGTCCAGATGATTATTACATGGAGATCAGAGGGCAAAGTTCTTAACTAGAGGACTTGCTCCCGAATGTGAGGAGTCCAGATGGGCGTTCATTGACAGAGCATAATTAGAGCGCAGTGTGCTGTTGAAGCGGTGCTCCATCATTCAGAGGCATTATGAGGGCTCTCGTGTGCTGTTCTGCTTCTCAGGACGGCTGCCCATAGGACGGCGCACTTGACTCAGGCAGGCAAGCCAGCGAGAACTAAATCTGATCATTTCTGACAGCGGGCAACCCCCAATGCATTAGGCAGGGGAGGAGGAATGGGAATCTCCTTTGATGATGAGCCAGGATTTCAAGGGGCAGCGCCCTGTCCTGATCCCTCCCTCTCCCCCTCCCCAGATGTACGTTCGGACAGATAGCTTGTGTGTTTGCCTGGGCCCATGGTAACCGAGTCTCCTCTTTGGTGAGGAGGAACGGGCTTCGTTCAATAGATCTATTTGTGTGACTCCTATTACTCATTTGGAGCACTGTCCCTCCTTTTTTCCGCTGTGGTCTGTGTGGGTGAGTCAGAGAGAGCCTAAACAGGCTGCTTTGAATTGATGGCTCACTCCCAGCCTCTCTTGACCCACTGCCAACCGAGCAGGGCGTAGCTTACCAACAAATCTTTTTTTTTTTTTTTTAAAGGCAGACTGATTCATAGAAACTCCTTTAAAACGCAGTGAAAAGAAACCGCCCATCACACACCCCAGCACACTAGCGCTGGAAACTTATAACCTCGGGAGGCAGGTCCCTCCCTCACTGTGGTCACACACCTTCAGAAGAGCGGACCAGGCAGCCAGTAGCTCCCGCCACTCAGGACGCCTCAGCCACTTCAGACCCTCAGGTAGGATAGCTTCCAATGCTGCCGAGGTGCTTGGCAAACTTTCTTTCCTTCTCTGCTCTCCTTCTTCTGAGCTAGTCACCTAAACTTCGCTTTTTTCCTTTTGCTATTTTTCTCTGATTCTCTGAATTGAACTCTCTGAAACATCTGGCTGAAAGTGGATACTGAGACAACTTTTTCCATAAGGTTCAGACAAATGCCTTTTGACCTGGGGTTTGGGGGAGGAGGGGGGGCAAGTCCATGGAACTGGGCTGTGATTATGTTTTGCAGTAACTGGGTCCTTGCCCTGAAGATGTGGAGGGAGCAGGGATTTAGGGAACGCACCAGGATAGGGCATTCTTCACGAGGAAACACCACAAGCCTTTGAAAGGGCGCACCTATTTGCCAGATGCTTTCCAGTTTGTCCGTTTGGACACAAACTGCTTCAGGACTTGGGTTGTTTCTCTTGGTTCTTTGCTGGTCTTTTTTGGATGATAGGTAGATACGTGCTTTCCTGTTTATTTTTGCTGTTGCATTTACTATAGCTCTTTTACCTTGTTCATTCACTTCTGTTTAAATGTAAGTGTTTTTTCTCCCCACAGGATGGGAGGAAGGGGTTGGTTTGTTTAAAGAAAACAGAGAGGTGGTGGGGAGGGGGCGGGCTGGGAATCAACTGGTGTTGATTCAAGTAAAGTGCAGGAGTTTCATTCGGTGGAATCTTCCTGATGTGGATTCCAGAGCCCCATCTCTCCTGGCCAGATGCAGAGGATGGGGAGAGGTGGGAAGGGAAGGGAACTGGGTTTGCAGGACAGGGTGGGGCAGGGGAACTTTATCTGGTGTAAAAAAAAAAATGTTGAATGGCTTTGTGCTTCCACCCCCAGAAACAGCTGAATTTTAGTTCTGAGAGAAAACAAGTAATCGGTAGCATCAGAAATAAGAAAAGAATTTTTTTAGCTGGCTGTGGACGTTTTCAGGATGGAAGGCAGTGATTGTTTTGGAACATTTTATCTTCCCGCTCTTCTAGAATGTGTCTGTGCAAACGCAAACAGTCGTGTTAGTGATACAGTGGATCTGGAGAAAAGAAGAAGGGTGATTTCTATTTGCTTTTTTTTCTTAATGTTTATATATTTGGGGGGGAGGGGAAGAGAGAGGGAGACACAGAATCTGAAGCAGACTCCAGGCTCTGAGCTGTCAGCCTAGAGCCCAGTGCAGGGCTCGAACCCACGAACCGTGAGATTATGACCTGAGCCGAGGACAAAGTCGGATGCTTAACCAACTAAGGCATCCAGGTGCCCTTGATTTGTTTTACTTTTAGGTTAGCATTTTGCTTGAGGTGTGGCCCATTTCAACACAGATACTGGTTTTTATTTTTCCTCCAGATAAACAAGATGAGGAAAATGACAGGATTCAGCTTGTCGGATGAAATTAGGCTTTTCCTTTAGAAAGTTCGTTGGAAGAGAAGATTTCAGTGTAATCAGCCTGTGTACATTGCACAGACAAGGCGCCTCGTAAAACTGCCCTCGAGGGGATGATTAACTAAGTGCAAGGGAAACTTTTCAAGATTCAGGGAACTCCCACATTTGCTTAAAATGTTTATTATTTCCAGATTACATGGATGTGGAGTCAAGGAAGCCATTATTAAGTTGATAGTAATGGCATTCTGTGAGTCCAATATGACTCTTCTTATAGTTCTGTGTAAGTTAAAGTGTAAGCAGTATTTAGCCAGTCAGCAAATAAAAAATACTGACAAATGTCGGGGTGCAACCATCCGAATTGCATTGTGTGTGTGTGTGTGTGTGTGTGTGCGCGCGCACACGCGCGCGCACGCATTTCACATTATATTACACTGTAGTTCCAGAAGTGAGAAAATACACCACATGTTATTTCCGGGAGTTTGAGGGCACTTGTTTAAATGCTGTTCCAATTCCTGCCTTTCCCACTGCCTCTAAGAAGTAGTGAGGGAGCTCTCCAGCTGCGGGAGGTTTTCTGGATTTCAACCCAAAGTCTTTGAAAATCCTGAAATGTGAGGGCTATTCCCCCCACCCCCCCCCAACACACACACAGCCTCCCACCCTCAGAGCCAGATTGAATTCCACCACAGACTCCGAAGAATGGGGCGGGGGTGGAGTGCGGCTGGAGGGCTGCAGGACATCCGGTCCAGCATCCTGGTCAGAGGACCCCCCAGATTTTACATTGTTTGAGGGGACTGAGCTGTCCTGGGAGTTGGCCGAAGGCCATGACGGGCCAGCCCAAGCCGATCACATCCCAGAACAGATGCTGGCTACTTCCCAGGTCTACGGGGCACATCTCAGGAAAGGAAAGGCATCCCTTCTCTGCAGCGGTAGAGAGACTTGCTGTGACTTTCTTGACTCTTCCTGCTTCCTTCTGAGACCTGCTTAGGCTTATCCAGTTCCCAGGGATCGTCCAGACTCTGGGGGGCCTTGTGGGGGGCTCCATAGAGACCACCCTGGGATGCAAACCCTCTTGGCTTGGTCTGGGGGATTGGTTCATGCTTAGATGCACTGGGATCAGTGCAGAGAGAGTAGTCAGAGACCTAGAAGGCTTATCATAGATGAAGCAAAATGTTTTTCTGTAGACTCATCAGAGCCTCATGGGAAGTATATCTGAAAAATGGCCATAGGAAAGGGCACAAGGAAAATTTACACTCTGTCTTCAATTTTGTTCATCAAATTCTCAGTTTGAGGGAGATTCTCAGTTTGAGGATCAATTCATTCATTCTCCACCATATGCAGAAATCCTATTTTTACGCCACCTTGGACAGATGGCCACTGTACATTTCCTTAAAATCTCCAGAAGAGGGATGCTCACTACCTCACAGTGAGGGCCTCCATGCTCCCCCCCTTCCACCCGCCCACTTTGCTAGACAACTCTAATTATTAGCATTTCTTAAATCCACCACAATTGGCTTCCCTATAACTTCTATGCTTTGTGCCTAGTTCTCTCCCTGGGCATGCAGAAGATAAATATCTATTCAACAACCTAAACAACATTTTTGTTGTTGCTCTACCTTTATCCTCTAAATGCTTAACCCTTAATTCATGTTTAATGGATAAAACTTGATGGATCAGTATTATTATTATTCCCTAAGACGCCACAAGAGCAGGAAGCACTTTTAAAGCTTTAAAACTATACACGTAGTCAGCCATACATACCTGCAGGATTTGATTCTGAGGTATTTCGTTTCTAAACACATGAATATGGTTTCTTCTTTACCTTACCGCATGTGTGTACAAGGCTGACTAACACAAAAGCTCAGACATTTGGGAATCTCAGATGTGCAGACTCAGAGGGGACACACCCAGTTGCTACTTACGGAGGCGATGGTTAAATCAATCCAATACCAGAGACACAAGCTTCTTTCTAACTTGGCCTTGCTGGGGTTATCCCATACTTTGGTTTACAGTTCATGTAGCTCACACTTTTCCATCGTTACCACCTGTCATGATAGCTACAGGAACACGCTGCCAATCCTTTATAACCCTAGACTAATTGTTGGCCAGCAAAACGAAGTCAGTCTTTGAAGAGCTCATAATCTTTCGCCGGTGTAGATCTGAAAATTCCTGACCGTGAAGTGCTCTTTTCCAATGCTCTTCCCAGTTCTGCTTAGAGGATTCTGGATTTCTGTTCAGTAATCCAGGGAGCCCAAATATGGTTCCAATTAGGAGTCCACTTGAATTCACAATACCCCACTCCCTCCAAACGCATATGTCCTGAGACCACTTTCTGTAACACTTCAGTCCCTGGAGCCCCGAAATAATTTCTTTCAATTTAACGAATAGATCCACTGGCAACGAAGTATAAAGATAAAAGTATAATCCCTTGTGGAGATCACTGCTTCTCTCTCTTCCTTTTAAGAAATATTTGGGTCAGCATTTTCTTCCCTGTTCTGGAAATGGCCATTTCCCTGGAACTAAAATGGACTCCACTCTTGGTGCCATTGACTTGATGGGGATGTGGCAGCTTTTGTATTTCCTGAGTCTGTTTCATGAATTCTCTCTTCAACTAGGGTAGTTAAAATTGAGAACACAGGCAAAGGTTGAAAGCGGTGGTAAGAATCTTGGGACAGACCCAACACGGCTCAATAGGAGATGGGGGGCTGTGGTCTGGTCCCCACTCTGTCCTGTGACAAATGGGCAAGTCATTTGTCTCCTTCATGGAGGGCACTGAACTTGATGGTCTCCAAGGCCTCCCCGTGGCTCTGAAATTCTACTGTTCTAAGATCATATCATCCTGTTTTGAGGAATCCCTTGGCTCATGCTAATAGTTTAGTCCATAAAAGTTGGGGGAAAAGTTAACTGAGGCAACATGTTGCATCGCAGGGCACTTTACAGAAGGTTGAGGGCCCAGGCAGCCTCCAGGGCTCACCCACTCTGAGATTCCTTTGGCCTTGTCATCGGATAGTAATGAGCATTCACCCAGCTCTCAGAAAAAGAAGAGGTTTGATTAATTAAACATAAGAGGTGCCAGCTTGAGTGAGAAGAGGCAGGCCATAGAAGCCTCTTAAGACACCGCCAACAGAAAAGGCTTCACCAGCAGCCAAACCAGGTTCAGGAAGAAACTGAGCTGGTCCTGGGAAAGGAACTCCACCCTCTTCTCTGGGAGGGGGACCATGCAGTGCGAGGGTGTGGCAGTAAAGGTGTGGATGAGAGAGAATCTTTGAATCTTCGCATAGTCAGTTGAATGTAGAGGGGGGACTCAGTAGAGGGGGAAGAGGGAGTGAGTGCAAAAGCAGGTGTTTCCTTAGGCCTGTGTTGTTGAGGGAGAAGAAAACGTGTCACTGGACAGCCCTGGGGGGAAAGAGTGCCGTGGAAAGAGGAACACTGGGAGAAGTGTGAGGAAGATTCCATTCCTATTTCCTCCCCTTCTTGTCTGAGGACCACCCCCCCTCATGTTTCAGAACATTCCTCAGGGTCAAATATTATGTCTTTTGTCCCCTGTGAATAGCCCTGTGAAGAGTCCCCTGTGAAGAACCCAAGCTACAAACGTTGGTCAATACATCCTTG